AGACCCGGTGCAGTGAGTGAGACCCAGTGCAGTGAGTGAGACCCCTGGTGCAGTGAGTGAGACCCGGTGCAGTGAGACCGGGTGCAGTGAGTGAGACCCGGTGCAGTGAGTGAGACCTGGTGCAGTGAGTGAGGCCCAGTGCAGTGAGGCCCAGTGCAGTGAGTGAGACCCGGTGCAGTGAGTGAGGCCCGGTGCAGTGAGTGAGGCCCGGTGCAGTGAGACCTGGTGCAGTGAGTGAGGCCCGGTGCAGTGAGTGAGGCCCGGTGCAGTGAGACCCGGTGCAGTGAGTGAGACTCGGTGCAGTGAGTGAGGCCCCGGTGCAGTGAGTGAGACCCCGGTGCAGTGAGTGAGGCCCGGTGCAGTGAGGCCTGGTGCAGTGAGTGAGACCTGGTGCAGTGAGTGAGACCCGGTGCAGTGAGGCCTGGTGCAGTGAGTAAGACCCCCTCCAGTGAATGAAACCCCCCCCTCCAGTGAGTGAGACCCCCCCCTTCAGTGAGTACAACCCCCTCCAGTGAGTAAGACTCACTGCAAGGCTGAGCTCTGCTGCCCCCATGCCTCTCCAGGGGCCTGACATAAACGGGCTGGGAACAGGAACAGCCTCACCAAAGTTTATTTCTTTTTATTTTTAAACCCAAATAAGCTTTGTTGTTTTTAAAGCAGGTAAATGAAAAGGAGAACAGGAGAACCTTAGTAGTGATGTAATGTGACTCGGTTTTGGCTTGGGTGTGAATAAATCTCCAAGCAATCATCTTGCCTTTTACAGATACATTGAAAATAATTAACTGGGAGAATAACATTTTTATCTACATTATAATTTCCACTTATAAAATGTTCATGTCTGTGTGCATAAGGCATAACGGGTCTATAGGAAAATGGGTCCATTTTTCTCCTTTTGATTTAGCTTCTACTAATATTGTTATAATATGGTTTCTTCGATAAATAATAACAACTTCATACTACATAAGTGATTGACTGCTGCCCTGTTTCTATTTTCAAACAGGCAACCAGACATCACGTGTGGGGGCAGCTGCGAACACCCCGTCATCAATTAAGCACAGAGAAGCTGTGTCTCGGCTCAGTGGATTTCCTTCTTGAAGCATACAATGCAGAAGAGGTCTGAAGGTGCAGACTGAAGTCTGAATTTATTCTATGGAGAAAACAGACGCTACTGAGGTTGCATTTGCAGTTAGAACTCCAGCCCCCCTTGGGGCATGACTGCCCAGCTGTGTCACCTGGAGCAGCTCAGGTGCTTCTAAGCTCAGCTTCCTTGTTGGCAAAGGGCCCTACTGTGTGGCACAGGCCGTGCATTTCAGGACAAGCATAACGCGTGGCGCACACCACCTGATGGGAAAGGCAATTGTGCCCTCAACAGCCACAGGAACAGGACACAGCCGTGGTGAGCCCACCTGGTCCAGGAGCACCGGGAAAGGGCCCCAGGAGAGGCAGCAGAGCTGAGACAGGAGGACGACCAGGAGCGACCAGGAAGGGGTAGAGGAGAGTGCTCTGGGCAGAGGGGACAGCGTGTGCAAAGGCCCGGAGGCGAGGGCACGGACAGAGGAGGAGAGAGGTTCAAGATAAGGCTGGGCTGACCACACAGGGCTGTGAGTCACAGCTCAGGGTCTGTCTCCACTGAGTGACAGGGGCCCAGAAGAGTCCACGGCGGAGGAGGGAGGTGACCAGATTTGCTTCTTTAAAGGGCGCTCGTCCTGCTGTGGAGGGGAGGCTGAAGGGGGCGGAGGAGCAGCTGTAGGAGTAGGGGACCAGTGAGGAAGCCCTGCAGGCCCCAGGCAAGAGCGGCTCTGTGTTCAGGGTGGAGGCTGGGGAGCGGGAGCTGGTGCAGTGACATTTCCGAGGTGACGTGACCAGGTTGGTGAAGGAGGGAGCCTCAGGTAGAGCCATCTTCTCCGGAGCTGGGGGACACATGGCAAGCCCACCCTGCCCAGCGAGGGGCCACCACCGTGTCCTAGCCTCAGTCATGCAACGAACATGTTTGTGGAGACCCTATCATATGCCAGGGTCTGTTCTAGACTCAGGAAACAGCAATAAACATAACAGCCTCTCTTCCCCAACTCCCTCTCTCCTGCTCTTCCTCTCTGTCCGTCCCTCTCTCTTCCTCCCTCCCTTCCTTCCTCCACCCCATGGAGTTTACTTTCTAGTGAAGGAGACAAAGAAGAAAGAATAAGCAAACGTAGAAGTAAGACAGTGCCACCTTCCTGGGAAGAAATGGAGGCAGCTGATGTGAGGAGCGGCTGGCGAGGCTGGGCTGGGCCATGGAGGACAGTCAGGTCTGCAGTGGCGACTCTGGGAAGGTGTCAACCATGCAGGGACCCAGGGGAAGAGCATTCCATTCAAAAGGACAGGCGTGCAAAGGCCCTGGGGTGGGAATGCACTTGACATGGCACAGAGCAAGGCAGACGCAGTGGCGGGAGCAGAGTGGAAGGGGCGGGGAGGGAAACAAGGGCATGGAGATCTTACTCGAAATGCAGAGGAAGCCTGGAGAGGGTTCAAGCACAGGGTGACACCACCTGAGGGCATGTCGAATATTACTCCGGCTGCTGTGTGCGGTGGGGGTGGCTGGGAGGCCGGCGCTGTCCTCCGGGGGAGACAGTGAAGCGGGGGGCAAGGCTGGTGATGGTGACGATGGGTACCAGTGGAAATGGGACGTGTGAGCTGCAGGTGGAGCCGGCATCCCCTGGGGGGCCTGTCAGAGGGTGGAACTCTGTTCTGCCAGGAGCATCGTGAAAATGCACAGATGCTCACACCCAGGTCCTGCGGATACCACGTGTCCCCAGCCTTCACCCACACCGCCCAGGGAGGCTGCTTCCCCCCGGCAGACACAGCAGCCGTGGAAATGACCACAGAGGACACACAGCTGTGCAGCCTGGTTGGGCACCTACTGCAGGTACCTGGCAACCACCACCTCCTGTGCCCCTGCAAGCCCTGTGCCAGCCAGACGCACGGTCAGCCCCTCCAGGGCCGGCTCCAGTCCACTCCACTGGGACCCCAGCCCTGTCAGCTAAGGCAAGAGGGACACACACTCCCCTCTTCACTGAGAACCCGCCTGGCTGCCTCCGTCACCGCACACTGGGCAGCCCAGCCTGGCAGAGGACGAGAATTCCCTGAGTTCAGGGGGCCTCCGAAAAGACATAAGGAACCCAACCCTGCATGCCGCTCTCTGAGCGGAAACGAAGGCCGCGTGCGGACGCCTGTCCTGCTCACTGTGCCTCCAGGGCTCTGGTGGCGCTGAGCACAGATGTGGTGCTGGGGCAGTACTTTGCTTGTGGGGTGCATGATGGAAGAGCACCCTGGCCCCAGCAATGACCAGCTCTGGGAATGGGAACCCCTGCGGCCTGGAAGTCCTGCCTTCCCACCCCACCCCGCCCCAGCCACACAAAACAAGACAATCCCATCGGGACACGGCTACAGGCGGCCCACCCAACAGCCCCACCCACACACAAAAAGAGCTCGGGCAGGGCCAGCCTGGTCTGCACATGGAGGGTGGGCATGCAGCAGACCCAGGGCACTGCCCTGCACAAGCCACACATGTCCTGGAGGGCAGGGTGGAGCTCGTCATGTGCACTTAGGTGGGGAGGAGAGGAAGCTGCAAATGGAGTGGCCTCTGTGACCGGGAGGCGATTTCTGTAACAAACGTCATCCCTGTGACTTCGTGGCGATTTCTCTAACAAACATCATCTCTGTGATGAGGTGGAGATTTCTCTAATAAACACCATCTCTGTGATGAGGAGGCGATTCCTCTAATAAACATCATCTCTGTGACGGGGAGGCGATTTCTCTAACAAACGTCATCTCTGTGATCGGGTGGAGATTTCTCTAACAAGCATAATCGTCACTGCCCTACCGTATGGAGAGGAAGCAGAGGGGCCCTGGAGGAAGCGCAGTGAGCGGCCATGTGGAGCTGCAGAGCCCTCTCTGCTCACTGCTGTCCTAAGAGGGCAGCCGAAAGTTCGTGTGCAGGCGCTGGCGCCGGGGCCTGCCGCGAGAACACTCAGGGAAAAGGCAACACGGCGGTGGGGGAAGCGTCAGCGGAGGCATCAAACGTACTTCCAGGTACCAAAGTGGGTTGAGAAACCTCCCACTACACTGAATTTTCAAAGCAGGCGTCACAACCCTGAGATGATTCACACACATGGAGGATCTAAGCGGGCTCGCAAGTGGAACAATAAGCTGTGAATCTGTGAGGCTGTCTTTGAAAAGAGCTATTTTGTGAGCTCTGCCTCCACCGCCAGGGTGGAGAGGGAAGGTCTGCCGCCTACTGAATTCCTGTGTAGCCCAGGAGGGGGCTTCAGTAGAGACTGGGGGGGCCCTGTGTGCCCCTTGCGGGGGACAGGGTTGGAGCTGGTGCCTGACACTTTGAGGAGGGCATTTGGGCTGTGTCTAAGGGCTAAGGGCTGCATTTTGGAAAGCAATGTCACCCCCTCTGTCTGTGGGGCACAGCAGCAGGAACCCCAGGGCCCAGTGTGGAGTCTGCGATAGGAGAGAGGTCAGACTGGGTCGTCTGAACGCCTCTCTTCCGAAGCAGTAATTCACCAAACAGCAAACACACACAAATGGCTCCCCGGCTTCCCACAGGGAAGGCAGGTAGACACCTGGCACACGGCAGGAGGGGGCAATGACCCCTCTCAGGGTTTCTGAGCGCTGGCAGAAGTGACCTGGATATTTGGTATGCAGAGCTGTCCCCTGGGGAGAAGCCAAGTCACTTCCTGAGGTTTTGGGGAGACAAGGTGTTGACACCCAGGCCCAACCTTGGGGGCACAAGAATCAAAGACAGAGATCTGTGGAGGTGGCCCTGGGGGCCCAGTACAGTGGGATGGTGGAGAGGGGCCCCACAACTCCGGCAGCCTCGGGGAGGGCAGGTGGGTGACCTGGTTTAAGACCAGGCCTGAAGGAAGGGTGGGGGGCTGTGTTTGCTAATCCTTGAGAAAATGACAAATGCGCATCTGAGAAGTGTGAGCAATGGGGGACTTGTCGACAGAATCGCATGGGTGAGGGACTGCATTTATGTCTCGAGCTGTGGAAATGATCATCCCAGTAACATGTCAGAACACAGCCCCGTTCCAGTCATGCCCACGGCCTCCCCAAATCCTACCGCACCTGGGCTCAGACCTGGGAGAGGCTAAGCCAGGCCTAAAGGGATGAAGACCACCGTCCAGTGTTGAGCCGCACGGGGGTGGCACCCGGTACCCAAGGCTGCCCCAGACATGAGGGGGTTCCACTGTCAGAGCCCCCAACAAACAACATGGTGCAGAGGGGAGGGTGGGAGGCGGGGAGTAGCTTCAACAGGACCCCCCAAGGCAGCAGAGCTACTGGCAGTGGAGCTCAGAGTTGGGACCACCCCGCCCCAGGGTCCCCGGGACCCAGTGTGGTGGGCTGAGATGAGGTGTTGCCCTTCCTGTGTTCCGGGCTCCCATGCGGCCCGTTCAGAAACCCTGGTGAAAAGAGTGGCCCTCGGTGGGGCCCTGACTGTGGGCGAGCGCTCCTCTGGAAGGAGGCTCCGACGCACTGTGCACTGTGACAGAGGTGGCCATAACCAAGGCCACCCCAGAACAACAGGCTGCAGAGGCCATGCTCAGTGTCTCCCCCACACAATAGCTGTCCTGTGCTCCACACACCCTGGCATATTCAAAGCGACGAGCCCACAGCCATGGGGTCAAGTACTGGTGTCTTCCGCTCTTTACGGTCTCAGTGTGCCACACCGCAGGTGTCACTTGCCACACTCCGTGGCATCCACACGACAGATGCCAAAGACCACAGGAAAGTGAGTTCGCCGTTCCGCTGAGGCGGGCAGGCTATTGTTCCCCGGGACGTGGCTGACACCCCTCACCTGCCCGATGTGCAGCTGAAGAGACCCCTCGTCCGGCCTTGGCCTCGGGGGAAGCATGATGTCCAGCAAGCTTCTGTCTGACCCTGTGTCTGTCACGTCAACTGGAGCAGAGACATCAGGATACAGAAAATCCCATTCACCAAGGTGGGTGCCCTCAGGAGGAAGGTCCTGCGCATGCTGCAACGTTGGGGATGCACTCTGAGATCTAGCTGCATTCTTGGAGATCCAGCCGCTGCCTCGAGAGTTGCAGCAGTGCGTTCTGGAAGGGCTTCCTACGGATTCTTAATTTACCCTCTGCGACAGACAAAACACGATGTCCACCCTCCGCCAGAGAGGTCCACAACCTCCACCAGCATGTCACCGTACGAGGGGCCCACAACCTCCACCACAGCCTGGAAATGTCACCATACGACGGGGTCCACAACCTCCACCAGCATGTCACCGTACGAGGGGCCCACAACCTCTACCAGAGCCTGGTCCACAACCTCCACCAGCATGTCACCGTACGAGGGGCCCACAACCTCCACCACAGCCTGGAAATGTCACCATACGACGGGGTCCACAACCTCCACCAGCATGTCACCGTACGAGGGGCCCACAACCTCTACCAGAGCCTGGAAATGTCACCATACGACGGGGTCCACAACCTCCACCAGCATGTCACTGTACGAGGGGCCCACAACCTCCACCACAGCCTGGAAATGTCACCATACGACGGGGTCCACAACCTCCACCAGCATGTCATCGTACGAGGGGCCCACAACCTCCACCAGAGCCTGGAAATGTCACCGTACGACGGGGCCCACAACCTCCACCAGCATGTCACCGTACGAGGGGCCCACAACCTCCACCACAGCCTGGAAATGTCACCATACGACGACGTCCACAACCTAACCTCAGAGCCTGGAAATGTCACCGTATGAGAGGCTCACAACCTAACCCCAGAGCCTGGGAATGTCACTTTACATAGCAAAACAGACCTTTCCGGTGTGGGTAAATTAAACGTCTGGAGGTGGGAGGTGATCCTGGGTTAGCCACACGTGTCCAGTGTGATCCCAAGGGTCTTGACAAAGGGAGGCAGGAGCAGAGGAAGGGGAGGGACGGAGACCGGAGTTAGAGGAACAGATTCTCGCTACAGGTTCAAGCATTCATCTGCACTGGCTATAATAGTCAATATAAAAAATAAGCCTGGGAGATTGCAGCAGCAGGCAATGAGTTAACGTCGGAACTATATCAAGAGCTCTCAGAAGTCACTAACGAAGCAAACACTCCACTGGAGAAATCAGGAAAGAAGCAGGTGTACGACATAAAAGAAAAATGCAGATGGCCAATTCACTTAGGAAGCCTCACCCATAACAAAGCAACGCAGCTTCGAATGACAACCAGGTGTGACTTCCTGCGCATCAGAGTCTGCAATGGCTTGGGAGAGGCGGCAGTGCCAAGGCCCGCCCGTGGCTGGATAAATGGCTACGACCTTTCTGAAGGGCAGTTTCACGATGTGCATCAAAGGTTTAAATGCGTATCTCACCAAAAATAGCTGAGGCCGCCTGGAATAACAAGCTGGAGGGTTTACACGAGCCGATCTCAGGCCTTGGCATAGAACGCGGCAGTTGCAATCGTGCCGGCATGCAAGTGGGATGACGGACAGAGCAGAGTCCAGAAGGAGCCACGCCGCCCCTCCCGTGACTGACGGCAAAGGTGGCACCGCAGCACTGGGGGAGGTCGGTCTTCCCACACGTGGAGCTGGGTAAATGACACATCCGTCTGGGAAAATGGTCAGTCTCAACCCTACTGCACTGCAGACACAGAAACAAGTAGAGAAGGACCACAGGCCCAAACACGAAAGCGAAAACAACAATTGTTCCAGGTAACACAGGAGACTACTTTCGTGGCCTCGGGTTAGGCAGGATTCCTTCACCAGGCACAAAAGCACGGGACACAGAACAGCTTGATAAACCGGACTGCACTGGCACTGAAAACGGCTGTCCACCAGCAGACACCATCAGAGTTAAAAGGCAAGGTCCAGTGGAAGAGAGATTTGCAATACGTGTATCAAACAAATGACTCATATTCAAAATACACAAAAACTACTTTAAAAATCAGTAAGAAAGAAAAGCAGACAGCACAACAGAAAAATGAGCAGAAGACTTGAGTAGATTTTTGTAAAAGGATATTGATGTCCAATAAACATAAAAAGGTCACCAACGTCATTCAGGAAAAGCAAAACAAAACAGAATGAGACAAAAGACGGGCCACACCCAACGCTGGACGCTGGGGTCTCGCGCTCTGCCAAGGGGAGAGTGAACCAGTGCCCACTCTGGAAAAGGCACCAGGCACCACTTGCATTCTGAACATGCCCCTCGACCCAGCGACGCCATCCTGGGCAGATCCCACAAGGAAGGGCACAGTCAGGTTCACCAGCAGAAATGCACTCACTAGAACGTCCGGCAGCTCTGTTCCCCTGGCGTCTAGAAGGGCATTCCGTGGTGCCGGCCATGTGCTGCTTCTTGACCTGAGGGGTGATTTCTTGGGTATGTTCACTTTGGGAAAACTGTCAAACCGTACACATATGCACGTGCTTTTCTGCAAGCATGCTTATACTCCAATAACACATTGGCTTTTAAAACATGGCTGGTGGTGGGATGCAGGGTGATGAGAAGTTTGGTCCAAGTAACCTGAGTCCCCCTAGCTCTAATTTTTTTGCGCCTATGAGTCTACAATTCTTCCTGGTCCCTCGGTAAATAAATACAGATCTGGCTTAAACACCCAAAATAAATTTTAAAATGAGAAAAAAATGTGTAGACATTTAACAGAGCAATTCTACCTCTAAGAATTCGTCCTACAGAGATAACCAAGCGAGAACACGGAAGACTCATTATGGCGCTGTGAGAATGCAAACCCGACGCCAGACGCACACCAGCAGGATGACAAATGTAGACTATTAAGCAGCCGTGAAAATGATGATACAGTCTGAGCTACTGGCATGGAAATATAGACATGGTAAATTTAAAAACGGAAGCTGCAAAATAGCGCAGATAGCAGAACCCCATTTATATAAAATCATGTGTGCACACACACACCTAGAGAAGCCTCCAAAAGAAGTCACCACAATGTTGACACCGGTCATCTCTGGGGGATGGGATTTCAAACGATGTTTGGCTACATGTGTGTGCGTGTGTGTGTGTGTATTATTTAAACAGCCTGCAGAGTAGGAATATCCTGGGTCTACAGTGCACCAAGGAATGACCATGGGAAGAAAATGAACCTTGCTTCATTCACAGTCAACTGTTTTTCCCTCATTCACAGCAAATCCTAGAGAAACAACAGTTGTGTGCCACAATCCCTACCAGAAAGTTCCTGCCTCCAAGAGAAGCCACCCGCCTGCTTGCATCTCCCTCAAATATGTTTCTGAATATGATAATCTGAGAAGCACAGGAAAGTGACTGTGTTTAATAGTCTGCAACTGGAAACAGCCAAATTACGGCTACCAGGACAAGTCAGCTGTGGTCTGTTCACATAATGGAATATGGAATAGCGACGTGTAGCATCCGGCCGTGAATACTGCAATAGCATCCACTTGGGACTCTCACCTGGGAGTCTCCCAGGGGATACTGGTGATGCCTAGAGACGTATCTAGTTGTCACACCTGGGGAGGGGCTGCTGGCATCAATGGGTAGAGGTCAGGGATGCTGCTCCACACCCACCCTGCAATGCCCAGGCCAGCCCCACAGCCACAGTGCCCCCACACCAATGCATCTCAACACACCAGAACCAGTTCCCTTGGGAGATTCAGCCCCAGAAACACAAGTCGACTTCAAAAGGCCAAAGTCTGGATTCCACTCTATGCCTGGGAACATCCTCTGTTCAGGGACGACCTGGACGCTGGAGCTCCCCATGGTCGGGAAGGGCTCTGGAGTTCAGCTCCCCGTGATCGGGAAGGGCTCTGGAGCTCAGCGCCCCGTGGTCGGGAAGGGCTCTGGAGCTCAGCGCCCCGTGGTTGGGAAGGGTTCTGGAGCTCAGCGCCGCGTGGTCGGGAAGGGCTCTGGAGCTCAGCGCCCCGTGGTCGGGAGGGCTCTGGAGCTCACTCCCTTCCAATGCCCTGAGAGATCGGACAGACAATTCCTGACGTGAGTGGCAAAGGACCCCCCAAAACATTAAAATGAGCCCTTTAGGAGAAGAAGGGATTCCATCCAGCTCAGAAGGGCAGGTGTAATGAGGCCACCTGGACCTCTGGAGGGCACCGGGAAAGGCCGGAAGCAAGGTCTGTGCCCTGAGACACCGTCCACTGAGACACAGTCTGTGGCCCAGCCACGCCCACGGCTGCCCCGTCTGTCTGTAGAGTGCAGGCTCCACCGGAGGGGAGACGCACAGATGGTGCCTCACCGTCCATTCCCACCTGCCCTCTGCAGCCCGAAGGCCCAGACACACTGATGGCACTGGCACATTTGACATGAACCGGGCACAGTGACACGGTCACGTGTCCCAGGGCATCCGTGGGCTTCCGTGGTGCAGCCCTGGGGCATGCGGAGTGCCCAGCCTCACCCCCAGGCTTTACCAGGTGCCCCCTTGGAGCCTCCAGGATGGGCCTGCAACTCCGTCCCTCACACCCTGGGGAGCTTGCACCCCATTCTGTGCCAGCAAAAGAAGGTATCTCAGGCCAGGCACAGTGGCCCACGCCTGTAATCCTAGCAGTTTGGGAGGCTGAGGTGGATGGATCACTTGAGGCCAGGAGTTCGAGACCAGCCTGAACCACATGGTGAAACCCTGTCGCTACTAAAATTACAAAAATTAGCAGGGAGCATGCCTGTAATCCCAGCTACTCAGGAGACTGAGGCTGGAGAATTGCTTGAACCCAGGAGGTGGAAGTTGCAGTAAGCCGAGATCGTGCCATTGCACTCCAGCCTGGATGACAGAGCAAGACTCTGTATCAAAAAAAATAAAATAAAATAAAATAAGAAAGAACAGAAAGTGTCTCGGCCTCAGGCCTCAAGACCTCAGCCCATGTTGGGAAAAAATTCCTACAGCCTCCATGTCACCGTTCCCTGACAACAACGTGGGGGAAAAACCTGTGACTCTCTTCCGAGTTCACCTCCTCCTCACGGCCCGTGAGAGAGTGCCGCCAGGGGAGATCCTCCCATCAGACAAATTGCTTTAACTCAGAAGAGCAGGCCCCCGGAACATCCTCCGAAGTATAAAAGCAACCTTCAAAAGAAAAACCCCAAAACCCTAGAGAACGCTTGGCTAAGACAAGCCTTAATTACCATCCTCTTTTGGTATGATAAAAATTCCTCTCCACCTCTCTTCAAGACAAGATTCCTTATTCAAACACTTTCTTTTCTTAAAAATAACTACAGTAACCAACCATTAAAACGGGGACTGCATTTTAATCCACCCTTTCTTTTTCTCTGGTTTTCAAACTGGCACCTTTTGTACTTCACAGAAGACACAAACATGCCTTCTACAAAACTTTCATCCACGCCATCAAGCCCCCCGGGGCCTGTAATTCACTGGAAGTGCCTGCAGAGACGGCCTCCCCAGGCCACCAGGCCGTCCCCGCCCTCGGGCCATGGCCAGCAGGCCTCAGGACCAGTGAGAAAATGGCCCAGAGAGCCCTGCCCGAGCTTCTCACACACAGACGCCTGCTGCATGGCTCCCTTCTCGTGTCTGGGAGGGCTGAATGGTGCCGCAAAGAAAAGTACAGTCTTGCATCACTTAATCACAAGGACGCATTGTGAAAACGCATCCTTAGGCGATTTCATCGTGCTCTGAACGTCACAGAGGGACGTACACAAAGCTAGACGGCATAGCCCACCACACACCCGACTGTATGGAGTAGCCTAGTGCTTCCAGGCTACAAACTGTGCCCACTACTGTACCGAACACGGCCGGCGGCTGTAACACAATGGGAAGGATCTGTGCATCGAAACCCATCAACACATAGACAAGGTACAGGGAAAATCTGGTCTTACAGTCTGATGGGACCACTGTGGTATATGCAACCTATCACTCACCAGAACATGACCAAATGTTTCCAAAACACGCAGAATGCTCGACTGGGTCTGCTGCAGCACCAGCCACACTGGAAACCCTGGTGGCTTTAGGGACCACTAGAAGCCATGTTCGACCTCCCCTCTGCCAGGAGAGCCAGCACACTGAGCTAGCCATCAGGCACCAGCACCAGGCTCCAGCCCTCCGTGTGGGCCTCTCTGACCCTGACGTCACAGAGAACACCAGTGACCTGGCCAGCGAGGCTGCCTGCACCTGCTTCCTGCACAGCTCCCCCCCAGGCTGCTCTGCCAGGGACACAAAGCACTATCCCTCGGGGGTGGCTGATTCTAGGCTATGCCACTCCCAAAACCATTACTCGGATCATCCAGATGCTAACCCCAGAGACACCATTTGTCTCTCAGATCCGTTCTGTCTTCATCTGTGGTCGACAGCTCATCAGGCTGAATCTTCAGAAATGACTTAAATCCACACACCAGGGTCAGGAGCAGAAGGCGGCCAGCTGGGGGCCATTCTGAGTTATCTATGTGCAGAGACTGGTCGTCTTCTCCCTGCTGTTTGTCACTTCATTGCCCCTCAACACTGCCCAAGGCTCAACATAAGGGAGAGAAGGTGGTCCATCTGCAGGTGAATAGAAACTTTCCGGGTTTCCAGAACAGGGGCCGGGCTGCTCCCTGCAGGAATACGCAGGTTCACAGGGTCATTTGCTGCAACAAGTTGCTTATACAAAATATGGGTAACAACATAAATGCCCGTGAGTAGGAGATGAGCTGAATAAGCCGGTGATGGCTGAGTAAACCCACACAGTGGGGCGCTGTGCAGCTGAGAAGCTGGAAGGCCTCTGCGGACGGGTTTGGAGTGACTTCCAGGATAAACTGAGTACCAAAGAGTTTCTGTGGTGTACCGGCCTTCACAGGAGACAGAAGGGACTATTGAAAAAGTACATGTATCTGCTCATTCGGCACAAAAGAAATTAAAAAAAAAAAAAAACAATGGGACCTGCTTACCTGGGGAAGTGGGTGGGAACAGGGTGCAGGGAATGGAGGATGGAGACAGAGCAGGGGTGGGCCGCGCCGCGGAGGATGCCTTGCTGTGGATCTGCCTTTAGATCTGCCACCGTATGATTCACATACTCCTCAAATACCTCAACACTGAAAATGAACCAACCTGTGGGGACCCAAAAGCCAGTCCCAACGACAGCAGATGAACCTGGCTGTATTCTCAGTGACGCAACAGTAAGGGAGGCAGAAGAAAGGAGGCAGCTATGGAATGCAGAGGAACGGTATCTTAACTATAGGGTGTAAGGCTAAAAGCAGAGAGGATGTGAACACACACTGTCCCCTCATCAGTACATACATTTCCCACAAGGGTGTGGTTAGCAATCCTGAACCTGTGTGTGCAGCACGTTTACACAAAATTATTGAGAATAATGAGAGACAAGTTTCCTACTTTGGGAGAAAGATGAACATACAAGGAAAGGCTAAATGAATCCCGCAGGCTTAGACCAGAAACAGGTATCAGAATGCAATCCATAGTTTGCAACACACACACACACACACACACACAGAGAGAGAGATAAATGCAGGAGGATGCAGGTGCATGCATGTGCTTCTGAGAACACACACACACACAGATTCCCTGGCTCTGTCCACCGAGAGAGAGGACTGAGAACAGTGACGCTCCAGCAGAAATAAGCACACCTGCCCCGACCGTGCTTTCTAAATGCCATTCTCCAACCAAACGCACCAGGGCTCCTCGGGGAAAGAGCCGATTCCATGAGCCCAGCATATCTTTAATGTCTGAATGTAAGGAGAGACTCCAAAACTGAGGGAGGCATCAAAGGAAGCAGAAGCCAACTGGACAAAGCTCCCACTGGTCACAGCTGGAACAATGGGAGCAACAGAATCCGTAATGAGAGAGCCGGACGGTGCCCTGTGGGATGAAACAGTATCCCTGAGTCACAGCAACATAAGCAACTGAATAAATAAATCACAGTTTGTTCTTATCATAGAATTCCAATTAATAAATGCAGAAGGAATGATGGAAATAGACAGTCATCATTAGGCAAACATGACAGTCAAAATGTTTGCAGGCAAGAGCCATCAATGGGCGTAGAAATTCATGGAGAAGGATGAGCTGAAGGAGGGTTGTGTAGTTTCGTGGTACACGTGGTGAGAGAGATTTATTCTAGGCAAAGGGGAAAACCATCCCTTTACAGTGGGTTCACCTGGCAGACACCACCTCACCCACACCATCTGAGTGAGCATTACCGGCAACAATGAACATTCACGTTCCATACTTGCTGTGTGGGAGCCGAATTGTTCCCCCTAAAGTCACCTGTTGAAGCCCTAACCCCCAGTACCTCAGAACGTGACAGTGTTTGGAGTCAGGGATGATTCCTTTCAAGGGATGATTACGATAAAATGAGGTCATTAGGGTAGGCCCTAATCCAATGAGACCGGTATCCTTATAAGAAGAGATCAGGGCCGAGCATGGTGGCTCACACCTGTAACCCCTGCACTTTGGGAGGCCGAGGCAGAACTGCCTGAGCCCAGGAGTTCAAGACCAGCCTGAGCAACATAGTGAGATCTCATCTCTACAAATAACTGAAAAATGAGCGGGGCATTGTGATGCATGCCTGAGGTCCCAGATACTCAAGAGGCTGACGCAGGAGGACGGTTTGAGCCCGGCGATCAGGGCTGCAATGAGCCGTGACTGTGCCTCTGCACTCCAGCCTGGGCAACACAGAGAGACTCTGTCTCAAAAAAAGAAAAAAAGGAAAATCAGGACACAGACACGCACGAGGGACGACCACGTGAGGACACAGGGAGAAGATGCTGTCTGCAAGCCGAGGAGAGAGGCCTTGGGAGAAACCAAACCTACCAACACCTTGACCTTGGCTTT